GAAGTTTCAAAGCAAATAATGCAAATAGCGCGGTCTATTCGCAATCACAGTAAACCCGAATTTCAAATAATTGTCATCATGAAGACGATTTTTTTCGGTTTTGATCCACCATTCCCGCTAGAAGTTCGTACCTATGCGCGTAAATTGCGTTAGTTATCAATTGGCGACTTTTTCGATGTAATCGTAATCATCAAAACGCACCAAAATATTGTATGAATATTTGTGACATACATGAAAAAAGGGTCGGGGGGTCGTATAATATTTTTTCTTACTAAGGAGGTCGTGTTATGAAAAAAGTTGAAAAACACTGGTATAGGTCTTTCATCTTTGTCCAAAACGTTTAGGACTGTGGTAACCAATATGTCATTAGACATAGCATTAACTATGACACCAACTTGTCAATCCAAAATTTACAATTTGAATAAAGTAATTAGATTTCACCAATCACTTTTGACAAGATATATTAATATCTGTTCAATATTTAATTTACTGAGGTTGTAGTATGAGCCTTGATTTATAAAAACAAAAAAAATGTGTGGCAAAAACTTAGACGAGAGTGATATTGTTAACTGTATGTTGTGGACGGTATTTCTTGTAACAAGATGTTTCTACGGTACTTGCAACTGAATTTGTGATACGCGGTAACAAGTACTCTCATATGAAGACTGAATTTTTTAAAACGCGGTAAGACGGTATGTCTTGCAACAAGTAATTCCGGCCAAAGATTGAATTTCTGTAATACACGGTAAAACGGTATGATCTTGTAACAAATACTCCCGGACGAAAACTGATTTTTTTTAAATCGATATTTTTGTATGAAGATGTCGAAGTAGAAAGCCACAACATGTATTTTTCAAAAACAAATGAAGCATTATTATTATTACAATGGGAGTCTTTACATCAAACATTTAAATATGTCATTTTTTCAGGAATATCTGACTACGGAATCAACGTTGAACAAAACTATAGAAACAATGGTGGACCTTCTGGAAATCCAAACAATAATGTGCCTATCGATATTCTGGAGATTAATGAGGTGACTGGAAGTTTGAATGGACCGTGATAAGTCAAAATGAACGATATTGTGTTTCTTGTCCTCTTTTTTTTTCAGTTATATTGTTATCAATAAGAATCGTTTAATAAATTTCTCTAGATATCAATTAATGAATGATATAGAGTCATAACATTTTTCAGTTTACTTGAGGATCCTCTTTCCCTTCTGGAGTATTTTTTTATTCTTTGGTAGCTTGGTCCTGAAATTTATCCAGTAACATTGAGCTTATGTCAATTTTTGACTCGAAATTTTTCATCTTCCCTATTTTCTGATACGTCTTTTCTATCGGAAAAACCTATTGGATTACTTTTCCATCATTATATTAAGCAAAGAACGACTGAAAAAGTTACAAACAATTAAATACGTCAATAACAACTCTAACAAATTCTTTCAAATATGAAAATCTAATTACAGAGAAGTCGCCACTTCTCATTGATATTGTAGTTCAAACATATGTCATGGAATTGAAATAGACATCATACACATGTTATGCAGGGTTTTCAGGTGAAATTTTCATTTCTAATTCATTTAAAAAATTTGTAGTACAACATGAATGATGCAAATTTCCTTTCAACTCAATGTTTATATTGAAGGTAGTTGTTTCAGATGGATATTTTCCAGTTTTTACAAGAAAGACACTGTTGTGCATAATCTACATATTTCAGCAAATAGTTTTTTCAGTATAAAATTGGAGACATTTTTCCTCCAAAATTTAATCTCTCCCAGATAAGTTATCCCTTCTCCCAAGACTCTTCAAAATTTAATAACAAAATGTGTTTTCATGTCGTTCTGAGATGCACCTTTACAAAATATAATTTTGTGATTTGAATTTTCCTGGAAACTATATGAAAACGTCTACAGATCAAACAGTCAGTACACTATTGAATGAAATGTCGATTATTTATAGGAAAGTTTTTTGAAATCGAAACTAGGATTTAAAAAAAACAAGATGCTGCGACATCCCACGGGTAAGGCGGACACTGAACAAGATGCAAGAAAGAAAACTGTAATGAGAAGACTGAGATGGGATAGGTATTATTTCTTACAAGTAATTTCACTTTGGGAGTTTGAATTATTATTTGAAATGTAACTCAGTGTACTCGTATTTGCATTCTAAAAAACAGACAATATTATTTTTTATTGTTGTTATTATTATTTATCGTATTTATATTTTTTTGACATTCCGTAATCCTTGTTAATCCGTGGTACACCCATGTTCACATTATTTACTTCCTAGGCATACATACAAATATTCTCAAAGAGCCAGTATTTTCTAATTGAATGGTAATTGAAAGAAAGATTATATTTGGATTATTTTTATTACAACAAAAACATGTTTGTTACACTGTGTGCTGTTGTTCATACGTGTACGTTATATTTTTGTCAGATTGAGGGAACCTTATATTCAACATAATTCACTGTCGAGAATGGTTGTGGATATTTTTGTTTCTAAACTTTGTGCAATTAATATATGAATGGTTCGGTGAATTTGGCTCTGAATCTATGCGATTATTCAGTTAACAAGCAATGTTCAATCAAATGACGGCATAATGTTCAGTTTCAATCTGATTAGTTCACATGTCAATAATATAAAATAACTAGGAATTATTATTTTATACATAAAATTAATGGCCAATAAGTGTTTGGCAAAATTATAACAATATCTTTTGAAGATAAAAATAAATATAAGGTATAACAAATATTTTACAAATGAAATTCATTCATAGTTTCGTTACAAAACTGAACTATTTACAATGCTAAGTACAATAATAGTCTACTGCTTTAGATACATGGAAGGTTGATTTAGCCAAATTAGCAGCAGTTTAATGTTTCCAGATTCTGTAGGGGATATCTGTTAAAAATATAAGAATGCAAGTTTACTGACTTTTTGAGTTTGAACTGACCTCACTATCCTCATATTCTCATTAGAAGATATGTGTCAGAAAATTATGAAAGCTTACCCATAATAAAATACAAATATTTCATCTGAAGTATCAAAATAACCTTTGATTTCAATTTTGTTCGTAGAAGTTTTTTATGTACCATTCAGACTGAAATGTTGGTAAAACCAACAGATGTGGTTCATCTATAACTCAAGATGACAAATCTGAAGGGAAACAGTATGTTCGTAGTTGGTTGGATCAGATTTACATTCTCGTTCGGTTATTGGAGAAGAAAGAGAATTGTAGGAAAACGCTTTAAAAGGAAACTGAACCACATTATTATTTCACAACAAAACTTATCGAAACTCACCCAGAAACTAGGAACGATAAGAATTACTATTTTCCACATTCAACTACGTCTACGAACGAAATAGTAGAGTCGACAGTTATTAAATACAGGGTGTCAAGTTGAAAATTTCCCTCCCTCAACATCTTCCTTCCAGTAATCAATATGAGGAATCGAAAAACAGGTCAATTTTATTGTCAAGGGGGACATTTTCAAGGATTATTTGTAGCCCTCGTGAGTGGTAGATGTTACCTTTAGAATTTCAAGTGACACATCATTTTGATTGGCGTTCAATTCTGTTTCCAATGGTACTCTGATTTATTATTTTTTGATGGGCATTTCCGAAAATAAGTGTTCTAAACTTACAGAAAAATTAAGTATTTTTTCCCATTTATTTTGTCAATAATTATCATTAATTATATTTCTGTAGAATAAAAACTTTTATACCGTAAACGCAGTCAATCTATTAATCGAAAATAAATAATTCTGTGTTGGTACAGATGAGTTTCGATACTTTGAGTTCTAATTTGAAAAATAAATACTGTTGCATTCCGAGTATTTTTCCGAAATGTTTACGTATAAATATGCTATTTGACGAGACAAAAATTTGGAACAGACATTCATTAACAATAACTGATAATTTTTGTACTGATTTCCAATATTCGAATCATTTAAATTCTGTACAATATTATCTCGCTAATAAGTGTTCTGGAAAAATATTCCAATGATACCAAATGATGAGTCCATATGATTGGATAGTTCCTGAATGAAATATGTACCTTTCTCAATGATCGCTCTTGATTCGCAGTAACAATGAAGGGAATATTTTATGAAAACATTAAACATCAAACAAACAATGTGGTAAACTTACAATGAAGAAAACAAATATAATAACTGTAACATATCTTTGTAAATATATTTTATTTTATTTATTTGAATCCTTCCATTTTTGTAAGTTTCCAACATTTTTTGATAAATGATGGAGAAGAAAACTAAAAAAATTTTTCCCAAAAAACCCTTGTATCCTAAGATAATGATTAAAAGTTCTTTCTTGATTGATTATATGAAAAATTTTTCCAATTGCCAAAAAATTACCATTATTTTTCATTTTCAATTTCTGGTTTGAATTTTAACATTTTTAGAAAACATTCATTTTCATCATACTTCATCATATTCAGAAAAGCAGTTGAGGAAATATTCAAAAGTGCCAGTAAGACATTTTTCAGAAATTCTTTGGTTGTAGTTGTCATTTCGAAATACCTTCATTCAAGAAATGTTTCATAACCCTCAAGGATAATTTTGGTCAAGAATAAGCAGATTTCTTAGTTTTTTATCGGTTCATCATTGTTCTTCTGTTAATAATCTATATTTTGCTAGATCATTGCATGATTGATTCTCTAGTTCTGACTCGCTGATCTTTTAAATCAAATCTGTTTTGCAAATTTTATCCTATTTTTGCTTCATTCTGTATACATGTTGAAAGTTGATTCCATAATTATTGAAATCTTCGAAAATCATAATTTCTCTTGCAACTTCATCACTCGGTTCCATTGTATTACAATCATTTCCTCAATGGTTTTGCCGATCAGTCAAACCGGTGAGTCAGAAATGTAGATCGGCTTGGCCGATCGGCAATACTGGGTCAGAATTGCCGACAAACCAATCTGCGATTCTGACCCATACAAAATGCACCATATTAATTTATAGTTTTCACTCAACAATTTTGATACATTACATTCAGTACTGGTAGCCAATGCAGACGTTGTTTACAATTGTACCAGCAATATGGTTTTCCATTATTCATAAGTGGTATTCATTTTGAATGAGTCAACCTTCAAATTATTTGTAACGAACACATTGTTTTTTAGATCCCAGTCAGTAGGAATAACATTACTGAATCTAATTTCCCTTCTCAGATTCGGAAACATCGTACATACTCTTGATTGCTAACGTTTATTTTAATTCATCAGCCTCTTCAATAATTTCAGATCAAACATTTGATATTTGATCTGACTGAACTTCAGCTATTTACAAATTGCCAGCGGCAGTATGATCCTGAGGAACTGTCAACCACTGTCACAACGTCTGGTAGTCGTGCAGAATTTCTGGAGGAGTTTGATACATTGGCTGGCATGGGTATGGGGCAGGAGCGGCCATGGTTTGGTAGGGATTGATTTGGGTTTGAATCACTCCGCTGGGGGTATACGTGGACATCTTGTGTGCTTCGGCTTCGCTATCGGAGCCACTGGAATCAAGATGGGGTTTTTCGGAACTCGTCTGGCTACTGCAAAAAATAATTTAAATTAATATTCTCTTAATTTTTTGAAATCAAGAAATTATAACATATGAAGTTAGCAGAACAAATTTCTTTTCATTACAGATTATTATAATGCACAGTAATTCACATGAAACGTATGTTGCTGAAGTCGTTCTTTGGTGGTGCAAGTAATAGGTTCGGGCCAGAGGAAATACTTTTAAAAAGTTAATGTTTAATGAAAATACTGTAAGTCATTACTGCCAAAAAAGCTCACATCATTTGCGGTCTGGAAGTTTCACTAGATTGAAAGCTTTTCAGCAGAAATAAAAGTTTCTGTTTACCCAGTTTGCGCACATCAGGCCACTGCGGTGGTTGGCAGAGTATTTTCTGATCAGGGCCGGACTAAAAATATTTCTAGATGTGCTTCATGACTTCTTTCAACAGTGGGATGGTTATCGTTAGTATTATGATTTTCTCATATTATATGCAACAGCCTTTGATGTCAAGTACATAATGCATACTCAGTCAAGTATGCATTATGCCTCAATGTCAAGACTTCTTAAGAAATGTATTTACCTACAACCTTTCAAAAAAGATATAAAAATAAAAACATAGCACACGAAAACTTGAAGTGAAGAATATCTGTAAATTCAACTACTTGGGGCTATTCTCGAGTAGTTGATATTGGGAAAAGGTAAAAATATTGAAAATATTTTCAGCAACTATATTTGAAAATTCGATATAGGTAACATCGCCTCAGGGAGAAGGCTAACGAAAATTGTTGATAGTAATTTAGGAATATCAATTGATATTGAGTTGTTGAGAGGAGTATCCAAAGAGACCAACTTTTAATTATTTGTACCTCAGATCTCATTGAAGAACCGAGGCTATGCTACCGATACTAAAGTATATCTTTACTTTCCCCCAACAAAAATAATGGGATGTGATAACAGTGTTGTTGAAAAAATTATTCTATTCTACAATAAATCCAGAAAATTGTTTTTGTTCTTGAAGCCGATACCAAGAACTATCGAATAAAACACCTTTGAGTGAATTAGAAAAATTTTTGCCGAATTTATTATTTTCTATAATACTACTGGGAATAAGTATTCTTGTACCGATAATAATAATATTTAATCGATCAAAATACATACAATGAGAGGTACTGGTAAATTATTACAAGAAATATCAAATCAATCCACAGAAGGAAATCATCCTTGTGCGTGAGTTTGCAATTATAAAATAAAATAAAATACATATATGTACAACTAGTTGTTGCCCGCGGCTTCGCCCGCGTAGAATTTGGTTTGTCACATCAAGTTTCGTGACAGTCCAATTTAAATAAGTAGTTCCAATATTTTTTCACTAACCAAAAATTTCAGGTATCCAACTTCAAAACTGACGAAATTCAATACAATTTTTGAACCCCTATTTTTCCACCTTGGTGGTGGAAATTCCTGATTCTCTTTCTTGATGATTATAAACGCTGTACAAAGAACCTATCTGCATATTTAAAGATTCTTGGTGCAGTGGCTTCGGCTGTACGTTAATATAAGAGCGGGCAACAGGTAGTAATTTATATTTTTACTTTAAAAATACAAAAACTAAAAGAATATGCCATCTGTTTGCCAACTGAACGCTAAAGTCTGCCCTTATGCGTTTTCGGCGATGGCGCTTCATTGCTTAGACCGGCCCTCTACTCCCGCGCATCGTCCCCCGTCGTCTTGCAGTAGACGCGACGCGTAATGGCTTGCTGCGTTGCGTCAAGTTACTCTTATCGTGATAACTTTCAAACGATTCGTCCAAATTATTTAGTGCAAAAGAATGTTTTTCTATACTAAATACATAAAACAAAAATGTTATCAATTTTTATAAGAATTTGACAGATATTCTAAAATGTTCATTGTCAACCACCTTCAAACATAAGAAGAGATAATGTATTTGCCTCAAAAAAGTAGTATTTGCAATGCTTTCAGCATTTAGATCCTCCTATATGTGTGGGTAACTTTTTTTCCCATATGAAAATCATTTTGAATCCATATCGAACTAGACATGAACCAGAAATACAAAAGCTTTCCCGAGAAACACAAGGACAAGGATTACACTGAAAACGCTTCGTGTGTTATGTTTCCTTTTTGATTAAAATTTTCATAAATAATTTTTATTTTATCAGTTACCTTCCTCATTACTTTCAACAGTTTTTGTATAAAAATTATACAGTCACCTCTTTGTTAAAAGGTTGTCGACTACTGGTATAGAGTATAGATTATTATAGTACGAGTGTAAAAAAATGTATTATGGAAGGAAGATGGATATTTATTATCCATTATTGAGGAAAACTAGATTGAAATATTAAGCATTGTCAATTTTTTGTCGTAAGTCCAATCCTGTGTATGCCAGTGGCCTGCCATGACGGGGGAGGATGTTTGAACAGACTTCGTTGTTTTGGTGAAACTCGACACCGCCGTTTCCACCAGAGCGTTTTCCTCTCTCATCCCCTCGGCCTACCACGATGCCAAGCCCTACAAACTGCTGTTTGTTGGTAAAACAATGCGGGGCTTCTGAATTCTCGGATCTGCTTTGTTGCAATATATTGAGGGAATTAAATATACGCTTCCACTTTCCTGGGTGGAATATTCGAAACCAACGAAAAACGTTCGATAATGTCATTAGTGATATCTATTTTTGAATTTTCCTTGGTGAAACCCTTCGAAAAAGAATTCCAAATGTAACAGTGAGTTCAAGGGCGAAGGTAACTGTTCATTTAGTGTCAAAAGATATCGACCCTTTTATGTGGTCGATGAATGAACATGTTTTTTTTTCAGTTCTGAAATTAGGTATGAACTGCAAATAAGTTGTCAGTCTTTTGTGAGTGTTGACATTTGAAACAATGCCAAAAAATAAGTTTGTGAAACTATATATCGGTCAGACTGAACGAACCATGAAAACTCGTCTCAAAGAACACATGGCACATAACCGAGTACCAGAAAGATCTAATGTCGTTCAATACACCTTGAGAAATATATTGTATAGGGAAATACGTGCTGTGATGTGAACTGCCTAGTGAAAATCTCACAATAGAGTGTTATTTGAATACGTTTTGGATTTTAATCAAGTATCGGCCAACTTTATCACAAGAAATTAGTTTTCTCGATCTCCCGAAGATGTCAACTTGTTTGATGAAACACATGTTGAGAAGGAGTATTGCAGTACTGGTGATATAGAAAAGAGTTTGTTTTTGGATAAAAAAAAATTTACAACTTTGTTAATTTTCATTTAAAAATGACTTGAGCAAAATGGAAACAATAATTTTTTTATAAAAAATGTAGATAGCATTTTAGTTCTAATAGGACTTCCAGTACCTCCCTTCTTCATTTGGAAATCTTTAAGTACGATGAGAGTCTCCTGATTTTTGGATCTTTGTTGTTTTATTGATTTATTTGATTATCTCAATTTTGGATAATCTGCGCTTCCATATGTATTCTTCTTCTCAAAAAATATTTTTGTACAACTGTCATCAAAAGTGAGATTTTTAATTATTGAAAGATGATGTTCACAACATGATTTTATTCGAGCAAATAGCAATAAATAAAATATAATTATTCAATTTTCAAGGAAGTTTTATTATGAACAATAGATATAGATGCAATTAAATTTTATTACAAATGTATTATATACATTAATTACAGCATCATTATTATTTATGAACATTATTATGAGAAGTAAAATTAAAACAACTGGTGATATTAATTTTTTGCGATGTTGAAGAGCCTTTAACTATCTGAGTTTCATGGGTTTTAACATTTAATTCTTGAAGTGAATAGACGATGCTGTAATGCTGGAGCTAGCTGTTGGATAGCATTTTTATAAGAAATAGATTGATCGATGTAACCCTCAGCTACTGTTATAGACCTCCATCCTCCGTGCTTCTTAATATCCGTTATATTTGCTCCTGATTCTGCTAGCAAAGAAGCAGAAAATCTTCTGAACAGTGACCTGTACATTCCTTTGGTTCCGGGAGGTTCAGAAACTCAGCAATGGTAAAGGGCATTTTTCCAAACGTGTTTATACCAACTAGGTTGGTACTGCATTTATAATTTGAGTATTTCAGAAAAAAACGTTGATGATTGATAACAGAAGGGTGCAATGCAACGTATTTATTAAAATAATCAATGTTTTTTCCAACAATGCAAAAAGAACGGACTGTTTTCTTTTTTGTATTTGGAATTTGAACAATCAATAATTTATCCATTAATTAAATGTCTTCTATTAATTTACATATTAATAAAAATTCCGAAAGGGTAGCAACTTTTATCATCAAATATTTTTCATTTGGCGCCTCATTTACAAACCTCTGGACTTGTTCAAACGTAAGAGTTTTTAATTTTTTGGGCCTATAACTGTCATTTTTCCGCTTTAAGAATGCTATTTTAACGAGCGCACTCGACTTTATCATTGAAAACTTGGTCCACAAAATTGACGATTTTCATATTTTTTATTTCTCTTCTAGATAGGCTAAAAAGACGGTTTCACTGAAATTTTCTTCGACGTTTTCAAGTCTACACCAGCTAAGACAATTAGAATATGCGATGTCGTGCTGCTCAGCCGAATTTTTTGGTAACAATTCAATTGAAGCTCTTTTCGCAGCCTCTTCAATATCATCAGGAACTCACAATTCCTTAATATTGTTCTTCACTATGCAAGACATTAAACACCAGCAAGAACTTTAAATGTGACTTTAAATAAAACCCGTGAGCTGTAAAAAATACTGTTTGTTGGTAACAAAGTGATTCGGCGTCACCTGACACGGCCACTTCACAGCAAATGCGATAACACGAAAATAGTTAACTGACAAGAGATATTAAAATGTGTTTTTATGGAAATAATAAATTTATCTATTTTATTATGAAAACAGGACAGTTGTACAAAAAACTTTGTATGATATTTGTGTTAAAAGTAATTTTTATTTTGTTCGTGAAACTTTTTCACTCGCAAAATAAAACCTTACTTTCAACACTCATACCTTG